ATACTAAATAATTCATATTCATGAACAAGTATATTTATGTGAGCATCTCTAACTTCACTAGTACCTTCATAAGTTATAATTAATTTATCACAACTTTCTTTTGTTGAATTTAACATAGAAATTTTCATGTAATCATCTGGAAGAAGTGCAAATGCAAAGTATTACATGCCATAGCATTTAACTCATCTAATTCTCTCTCTAATATAGTCCAATCATCAAAAGGTTTTTCAATTTTAATTCCATTAATTTGTTTAGTGGGTGTATGATATTGGTGTGTAAGCATGTGTCGCATACAAGAGTCTTGACCTCTTAAGAATGTACTAATTCCATTTTTCCAATTATCAAAAGGAACATTATCTAATAATGGAGGACGATGAGTGGTTTGTCCTTTGCAAAGTGAACCCTTAGGAAAACCGTGTGCCATAGTTTATAAGTGGATCTACTCTAGGATTTTAAGCCAAAATAAGAAGAGCCAAGGCTCTGATACCAATTATTGGATGACTATGGCACCCTTAGAGTGGGGGGGGGGGGGGAGGGGGGGGGGGTGAATTAGGGTTCTTAAAATTTTTATTAAAAGAAGAAAATTAAAATGATTATAAAGCAATTATGAAAAGTGTAAGTAGTCACAAAATATTTCTAATGAAAAAGACAGAAAAAGAAATGCAAGAAATGAAAATAAGAGGCACAATATTTTAATGTGGTTTGGCCCAGATTCCAATCTGACCTACGTCAACATTAGCCAACTCTTGGGCTAGAATTCACTAATCCTAGATTTGATTAGCAAACCTCACATCCTTAAACCAAAGAAGTTCTTTACAACCTAAGTACTCTCCTACACGGGCGAGTACAACCCAATCTAATTATGATTCAATCTACACTAAGCCAAATGGCTTAGATTAAGAAAATGAAGAATATAATTTGATGTAAATAATACAATTCCAAATTATCGTGCAATAAAAGATCCACAATATTTGAGGTGATCTTACAAATTAATTTTAATCACCTCACTACTTCCAAATGAAATATTAAATTTGCTCACTTTAAGATAGATTTATATATTTTTAAAAATAAGAATAATATTTAAATAAAAATATATTGTTGCTTATTTAAACTTAAACTCTTAAAAAAAAATGAATTAGATCATAGATGTAAATCTATTCCCCCTTAAAGAACTAAAAACACTTGCTTTGCTAAACTTTATATATTTAAAAGATATGATGTAGAAAACTTTAATATAGAACTTCCAGCAAGTATTTCACCATAAAATAAACATTTTCAAGAAAGATATATATATTTTTTTGAAAGAAATGCAGCAAATTGCATTAAAAGAAAAAACTTTTACAACATAAAGCTTCTAAACTAAGGATTCCTCCTTTAAAATAGACATAAACAAAAGAGGAACCTTGTTCACCATAACATCATCCGAAACAAAATAATTCAAAATGCCATAGGTAGTACACAAATCCGCTAACTTATTGCAATTTCTATCAACCCAATTAAAGATAACATGATTGAATTCATTAAACAAGTACATACCTTCCATCTTTGTTCCTCCAGTTCTTTTGGCCTTTTTCAAAAACTTCATTACATTTTGTCTCCTTCAATTATGATGCCTTTGTACTTGAACATCCAATCTTTGACCATGTCTTTAATAGATTGAGTAGTTAAATACTCCAAAGAAGATATATCCAAATGAAAGAATGGTTTACCGAAAGCTTGAAGGAACCTTCCTTTGTGGTCATGGAACACTCCTCCAATTCCACCTTTGTAAGAAGAGAGAAGAGCATCATCCACATTAAAATTTAACCAATTAAGTGGAGGGGGATGCCAATGAGAATTTAACAACCTATAAGGTTGGTTAACATCCCATATACCCAAACTTTTATCAGTACCAAGAGAAGAAATTGATGCATAGATGATTGCATTGGAGGCAATCAACAAGAAAGAAATATATGGTGAAAGCTAAAATAATAGCAAGTAAAGATTTAGAGAAGGAAATAAAACTCAAGAACTCCAATAGATGTTATTAGGTTCTGTGTTGAAGCTTTCTAACCAGGATTTCGATCTTGCAAATGAAAAGAGTACTTGGAATAAGAATCAAAGTTTCTCCTCTCAACATTTAGCATGTAAAAAGGAAAGGAAGAATGGAAGAATTGCTGGAGATTTTTCTTTGAGCAGCCCTTTCATGAGGAAGATGAGAGGTATTTAAAGAGAAAGGGCAAGTAATTCCATATTTGAATAAAAATATTATTCTAATACGTTTTATATCAGGTAATAATATTATATTTCATTAATAATTCATTTATACTAAATATATATGAGATTGAAATGGCTATAAAATGGCTAGACATGTGGGAATGTCAAAAAGTCTTCATATGCATAAAAAATAGAGCAAACATGGCTAGCAGCAGATTATATTTAAATCAGATAATGTTTGGAAAGTCATTATAAATTCAAATGATATCCAAATGAGTCATATATATATCTATAGAATCCAAAGAATCTAAGACAATAAAAATTAGCACAAAAATAATAACATATTTAGTAACATAAGAACTCATGCACCTGTATCACTTAGCATACAAATTAGAGCACCCAAGCATATTTAGGTATCATATTTAAATATTTAAGGATATATTAAATATTAATATAATAATATTATGTAATATATATATATATATATATAATTAATTAATCATACATTAATAAATAGATGTGAAACAAGTCAGTTTAAAATAAATACATAATAAAAGTTTTTCAGTATAAGCTTATTACCTTTAATTTCTCTAATTAAATAACTTTCTATATTTGATAATAATTAAGCAATCAATGAAGGTTATATAATTTATCTAACAAAGAAATCCTATAGATTTTTATATCAAGATTAATATATAATTAATAGATATTTAGATATTGAGCAAATCAAATCATGCAAGTAGTTATTAATGAACCACTAACATACTCCTATGATAATATAAAGTCCTTCAAGTTGTCCATCTTGGTCCATCCTAATCTCAACATTTGATTGAACTTGAGTTGTGCAATGTAAATCCCACAAGTATTTATAATGAACATCATTACACCTTAAATACTTAGCACACAAATTAGAGCATCCAAGAATATGTTTGTTATCATCAAAATATCTAAAATAGGTCATGAGGTAGATAATATCAACAATTTTTACTAATGCTTTTGTTAATAGGATCATTAAACTTCTGAATTTCTTTCACAATTTCAATTGGTTAGTGGTCTTTCTCTAAACAAACATAAATGGTGTTTTAATCATTATAAGAAAGTGCCTAATGATCATATTGTAGCCATTAAAAACTCTACTGGTTTTGTGCATGACAATTTGCCTATTAAATATCTTGGGGTGTCTCTCTTTAAAGGTAAAAAGAAAACCTTTTTTTTATGATTTAATTACTAATGTACAACAAATTATTATCCTAGGATTCTAATTTGCTAAGTTTTGGGGGTCGTTTAATTCTCATCCATAGTGTTCGTTGTTCTTTGCAAATTTATATTTTTCAAACTCTTCATCCTACTCAGGCCATTTGCAACAGGATTGATGGACTTTTTAACAAATTATTTTATAAAGGGGCTGGTAGCAACTCTAAAATTATTTAGTCCTCTTGGGATAAGTATTATGGTGTCCTAGAGGATGGTTTGGGGTTTAAGAGTATGAATGATTTGGCTTATGCTTTTCCTTTTAAGTTATGGTACAATTTCTGTACTAAAGTGAGCTTTTGGGCTACGTTTATGTTTGCTAAGTATTGTGTGGGTAAACATAAGACAAATTGTTATTTTAACCAAGGTGACTCTATGGTGTGGCTGAGATTGTGCCAAATTAAATTGGTTGTTGAGCCCTTCTCTAATGGGGGCTTGATGGTGGTGACATTTTCTTTTGGCTAGATCGTTGGTTTGAGGGGCATTCTATTGACTCCCTTACTAACTCTTCATCCAATTTGGCGATTAAGGTGAATTTCTCCTTTTCTGATAATTGTTGGAATTATGAAAAGTTTGCTATTGTTATTCGTGATTCTATTAATCAACAAATTTTTAATCTTCCTCTTAATACGAACTCTAATGATGTTCTTTTATACGGCATGTCCAAAGATGGTGGTTTTAGATTAAAGGATGCTTGGTATGCCTTTAGAATTAAGAATAAGGTTACTAATATATTTTATTTCCTTTAGCATAAAAGTCTCCCTTCCACGGTTGAAGTCTTTGTTTGGAGAATCTTACATTAGTTCATCCCTATGGATGATAACTTAATTAAAAGAGGCTATATTTTATTGTCCAAGGGCCAATGTTGTAATCTTATTTGGAACATGCATCATGTTTTCCTTTCAGGTCCTTTAGCTATTAAAACTTGGATTTATTTTGATGATATGTTTCAATTGAATTTCTATAACATTTAAATGTCTATTTATGATTTTCTTAATTGTTGGTTCATCAAGTCTAAAGGCCATATTAAAAATGTTATCCCTCCTATTATTTTATGGTATTTATGGTTGGATAGAAATAATTATATATTTAATTATGTTGCTATGAATCACCATAGGATTATTCAGAAGGTGAAAGATAAGGTTGTTGCTCTTTCCTCTGTTAAATTAATTTACATCATCAATTTTAAGAACTATCACTCTATTACTTTTGAGTTAGGAATTAAGCTGAAGTGGATCACATTCCTAAAGACCCTAAGCCTATTTATTGGACCAAAACCCCTTTTATTTCCAATAAAAACTAAATGCGGATGGCGTTTTCTTTGGGCCTTCTTCGGGTTGTGGTGGTGTTATCATAGACTGTCATTATAGCTTCATTATGAATTTTACTGGTCTTTTGCAGAATTATGATGTTAACAAAGCTACCTTTTTAGCTTTTCTCTATGGTTTAAGGCTTTTCATCTCTCATGATCTAACTAACATTATTATTAAAGTTGATTCTAAGTATTATTTTTAATTATTAAATTCTATCATTCTTGATCTAACTAACATTTTGTGTGCGACCATACCAGCACTAGTGCACCAGATCCCATCAGAACTCCGCAGTTAAGTGTTCTTGGGCAAGAGTAGTACTGGGATGGGTGACCTCCACGGAACTCCTCGTGTTGCACCCTTAACACTGCCATTGCAAAGTCTCAAGTCCTGGATGAGAAAAGTAGAGGGTTGCATTAGGCAGTCAACAGCCAGTGTAAAACTTGTCGAATAATAATGACATGAATCCTTTAAGAAATTGTGTTAATGCTAGGGTGTCCCCTGGAAGCAATGCGCTGTATGGCCTGAATACAGTGATAAGTGTGTAAGGGCCACTACACCGACGCTCGAGAGCAGTGTTAAATAGCCAAGGGTTCCCACATCAAGGATGGATGTGGGCAAAGAAGCTAGTCCTTGAAACTAAAATTAGGATATGAACTTGGAATATAAGTTCACTTACAAGAAAATTAATTGAATTAATAGATATTATGATTCATAGGAAGTTAAATATTTTGTGCATTCATGAAACTAAAAGGGTTGGAGAGAAGGCTAAGGAAATTGATAGTTTAGGATTTAAACTTTGGTACTCGGGTAGGAGTCGTACTAGAAATGGTGTAGATGTTATTATAGATAAGAGTTTAAAGGATAATATTATAAATATTAATAAGATTGGAGATAGAATTATTAGCTTTAAAGATTGTTGTTGATGATAAGATTGTTAATATTATAAGTGCTTATGCTCCTCAAGTAGGTTTGGATATGAGTTCTAGATTAAATTTTTTGAATGACTTAGAAGCATTAATACAAAAGATACCTCTTGAAGAAAAAGTTTTTATTGGAGCATATTTAAATGGACATGTTGGTAGAGAGATAGATGATTTTAAAAGCATTCATGGTGGCCATGGATTTGGAACGACGAATGAAGGTGGCAAGACATATTGGATTTTTATTTAGCTTATGATTTTTCAATTGCAAATACCTTATTTAAAAAAAGGAATGAGCATCTCATCACTTATAAAAATGGATATAGTACAACCAAGATTGACTATTTTCTTATTAGAAAATTAAACCGTTTAGATTGCAAAGATTGTATAGTTATTTCGAGTGAAAATTTATGTACCCAACATCGATTATTAGTTTTGGACTTTAAGATAAAGGGGCATAAAATAAAAAAATAAAGTAAAACAATTTTCTAGGATTCGATGGGGGCATTTAAAGAATGTTAAAAAAAATATTTTTGAGAATAAGATTTTAGATCTTAAGATTTTGTCTGTGCATGAGGATGCAAATATTATGTGGGAAAAAGTGGCTAGTGATATTAAGAATATTGCAAAAGATGACTTTGGAACATCGAAGAGAAAAGCTTCTAATAGTAAAAATAGTTGGTGGTGGAATAAAAATGTGCAAGAAAAGATTAAAAATAAGAAGTTTTGTTATAAAAATTGGTTTAATTTTAAAAATTTTGATAATTGGAAAATATATAAAGTGGCTCGTAAGGATGCTAACAAAGCAATATGCGATGCAAAGACATTAGCTTTGAGTGATTTATATAATAGATTAGATACTAAAGAGGGAGAAATATATATGTGTAAGTTAGCCAAACAAAGAGATAGGAGTAGTAAGGATTTAGTTCAAGTAAAGTGTAATAAGGATTAAGATCAAAAAATACTTTTTCTTAGAGGATGATATTCAACAAAGGTGGATGAGATATTTTGCTAAACTTTTTAATGAAGATTGTGAAAATATGATTGATTATAGTGACCTTAGCACCCTATATGAAAAAAAAGAATTTTATTTTTATCGGCGTATTAGCAAAACCGAAGTTAGAGAGGCTTTAAAGAAAATGAAGGGTGGAAAAGCTGTTGGACCTGATGATATTCCAATAGAGGTGTGGAAATGCTTAGGAGTTGAAGGAATTTCATGGCTTACTAAACTTTTTAATACTATTTTAAAGACTAAAAAGATGCCAGATGAGTGGAGAATAAGTGTGTTAATTCCTATTTTTAAGAATAAAGGTGATGCACAAGATTGTGCGAATTATAGAGGTATTAAGTTATTGTGTCATACTTTAAAACTATGGGAGCGAGTTATGGAGCATAGGTTGTGGTTTGTTACTAATGTTTCTCAAAATCAATTTGGATTCATGCCAGGTAGGCCAACTATGGAAGCCATACATTTATTAAGAGGTTTCATGGAGAAATATAGAGAAAATAAGGAGGATCTACATATGATATTTATTGATTTAGAAAAAGCATATGATAAAGTTCCAAGAGAAGTGCTATGGAGAGTTCTTGAAAACATATGTATGCAGGAGCTATTACTTGTGTTCAAACACAAGGTGGATTGACCAAGTATTTCCCTATTTCGGTTGGGTTACATCAAGAATAAGCCTTAAGCCCATATCTTTTTGCTTTAGTCATGGATGTTCTTAGTAGACATTTGCATGAGGATGTACCTTAGTGTATGCTTTTTGCTGATGATATTCTTCTTGTTGATAAGACTAGAGAGGGAGTTGAAGGTAAACTTGAATTATGGAGGTCAACCTTAGAGTCTAAAGGTTTTTGCTTGAGTAGATCTAAAACAGAATATTTGGAGTGTAATTTTAGTAGTAATAGACCAAGTGAGGGGATTGTAACTTTGGGTGATCAAGTCATTAATAAGAGTACACGTTTTAGATATCTTGGATCTATTATTCAGAGTGATGGTGAAACAGATGGAGATATTATCAGCATAATTCAAGTTGGATGGTTGAAGTGGAGGAATGCATCGAGCTTGTTATGTGATAGAAATGTACCCGTCAAACTTAAGGGAAAATTCTAAAAGATGGTAGTGAGGCCTGCAATGCTTTATGATGCCGAATGTTGGCCTTTAAAAGAGAAGCATAATACTAAGTTAAGTGTGGCAGAGTTGAGGATGCTCAGGCGGATGAGTGGCATTACCCTTAGAGATAGGATACGAAGTGAGCATATACGTGAAAAGGTTGGTGTAGCTCCACCAGAAGATAAGATTAGAGAGAGTCGACTTAGATGGTTTGGTCACACAAAATGGCGGCCTTTCGATGATCCGGTTAGGAGAGTAGAGGTATTAGATTTGACTTATGTTAAGAAAGGTAGGGGTAGACCTAAAAAGACTCGGTTAGAAAATATTAGGAATGACCTTTCTTTATTAGATTTAAATGAGAATTTGACTTTTAATAGGACACAATGGAGTAAAAGGATTCATGTAGCAAACCCCACGTAGTAGGATAAAGGCTTGATGATGTTGTTATTGTTGTATTAAATTTTGTTAAGGAGTCAGTGTGTAACTCCTCCCTTTTTTATCTGGTGAGGGATATTAAGAATTTATTAATTTTTATGAATTTTTTTGTCTCCCTTATTCATAAGATTGGTAATGCGTGTGCTAATTGGCTTGCCAATTGGGGAAAGATCTATATTGTGTGTCAGATTTTACTGCTACTAACCTTTCTATTCCTTTATGGGATCTTTTAAAGTTAGATAAATTTGGTATGCATTTTGTTCGAACCTAATTTATTTTGTTGGCAGGGGACTTATTTTTTGGATTTCTCTTAGGGTGTCTTACTATGGCTTTTTCCTTTTCTACTGCTCTATTTTATTCTGAGCTACAACAATACTACTTGGTTTGGTGTTGAAACTATCTTCTTTGAATCCTTGTAGCTCTGGTCTGTTTGAGTTTCTAACTGGTCTGCTTGGTTTTGTTGTCTTGTATGGCCCTATTTGGTGCTGCTTCAGGGGCCTTATCATTTGGGCTACCTTGGGGACTTTCTCTCTTTTATTGGAGGTTTATTATTTTGCGTGTTTCCTATGTTACTTATTAATGTTCTCTGTTAGGTATTTCCTGGGGGTTTGGATGGTGGGTGTCTCCTGGAGCAAACTGGCTGGTATTAATTTATGCTTACTATTTTGGGATTTACCTTTCCTTTTGCATTTTTGTTTCTATTGGAGTTCCAGATTGTTCTTTTTTTCCTGTATGTTTATACCTTTTTTTTTATATTGGTGGCTATTTTTATTATTTTTTTCTGGGGCTTGGTTATTGGGTATGCCCTGGTGCCTTCAGATTGTTGTTATTATTGGACATTGTGGCTCTCTTTTCTGCAGCTCTTTAATTTTTAACTGTAGTACTCCTTTTATTTCCTGGTGTTTAAGCATGGATGGCTAGATGGGTTTTCTGGTTATAGTGAATTGGTTTTGGTATCTATTAGGCTATAATTGGGAGGCTTGTATCCCTGGCTGCCAGCTAGTTTCTCTCCTCTTTTGTTTTTCCACTTCTTTTAGCTGCTTGGTTTTTGTTCTTGGTGCTTCCTGTCTCGGTTTATTTTGGAATGATTATAGCATGTTTGTGAGTAAATATGCAAGGCTAATTTTATTAATATATGGTTTGGCTATTTATTTTATCTTTGAGGTGAACAAGTGTGGTGATCCTTTTTGTATTTCTATTAATTGTGCTACTTTGCATCATAAGGTTGATGTTGTTAGCTCGGGTTGTTATACTTACAAGGTTTGGCCTATTGGTATTGTACCCATTTGTCCCCTTTTTATCTATATTATGATTTCCTGTTGGAACTATTATCCTGTTAAATTGTACTTTTTCCTGTGTTTTTTTCTTTTGTGTCCATCTTTTTTTGTAGGACATTCCTAGTATAGGATTTTGTGGTGGTGAGATTCTTGAAAGGAAGTTGGATCTCATTTCTATTTTTTTCTATTTGTCTCCTTTTTGAGTGCTTGTTCTTGTGCACCGTATATTGTATCTAGGTATTTTTATATTTTTTCTTAGAAGGGACCTCGAGCTCTTAGGATTTTTTTTCTGTAATTTTGTAGCTCTTTTGAGCATTAGTGAGCTTGTGGTCCCTTAAAGGACTCTATACATTTTTACTGAATTAACAATTAGGCCCCTCTATGGGTTTCCATAAAAAAATGATTAAAAGTTTTATTTATGCACTTTTCTTTCATCTAATGCTCATGTTTCATGCATATTATTCATATGGGTGGTAGAATTCCAAATGATCTCAAACACTCATAATTTATCTTCAGAGGACACTCATGACCTCTGGTGAGAGTTTCAAGTGGGTTGCAATTAATATGCTTCAAAAATTAAAGATAGTCTAATTACATGAATTTTTTAATTC